GGGAGGGAGGAAGGAAGGGATGGATGGAGGGAGGATGGAGAGAGGGAGGGAGGGAGGGAGGAAAGGAAGGAAGGAAGGAAAGGAAGGGAGGAAGGGAGGGAGGAAGGAAGGGATGGATGGATGGAGGATGGAGAGAGGGAGGGAGGGAGGAAAGGAAGGAAGGAAGGAAGGAAGAAAGGGAGGGAGGGAGGGAGGGAGGGAGGGATGGATGGATGGAGGATGGAGAGAGGGAGGGAGGGAGGAAGGAAAGGAAGGAAGGGAGGAAGGAAGGAAGGAATCTCCACCATTCAGACCATAATGGGAGAGGACAGCTTGCCTGAAGTGCCTCCTTGTCTCTCCTCTATTAATGGAATAAAACCATGACAACAAATTAAATCAGCCACGTGGGCAGTTTTTATCCATTTTCTTGCATTGCTAATTGCTGGCCTAATTGCTGGACTGCTGGGATTTGGGGTCCGGTTGGAATAGATTTATTAAGGCAGTTTAGTGGACTCCAAGGAAGCAGAACTCAGACCTGTGAGGAGAGCACAATTAGGAAATATACAGGCTGGAGAGAGAAATGCAAGCAGCACTTTTAAAATTGTCTAAAAATTCAAGTATCTTTTAAAAAGAAGACATTGAAATTTTGATTAGGATTAGATTAACAGAGGTCAGAGTAGATGACCTTGTAGGTCATCTAGTCCAACCCCACACCCAGGCAGGAGACCCTACACCATTTCTGACAAATGGCAGTCCTGCCAGCTCTCCCTAAAGGAGCCTAACCTGCCCTCCTGGCCTCTTTCTTCATGCCCAAAGTCACAACCTAACTTGAAGATCTTGCTGGGGGCATCTTTTGTGTACCCTGAAGGCTGGCAGGGAGCTCTCTGGGGTGGAAGGCTACCCAAGGAAGCAGCTGGGAAGGGGGTCGCCTTCACCTGGTCTGGGTGGCTGCATGACTGGTGGGAGAGAACTGGCTCTGCCCCAAAGGTGCTTTTTCCAGGAGGCAACTGGGTTTTTTGTTTTTTCTTTGAAGACCTTTCACTTCTCATCCAAGAAGCTTCTTCAGCTCTGACTGGATGGACGGGAAGGGAAGGATTTATACTCCTCTGGTCATTTGCATCCTTTTATAGAGTTATTGAGGCCACCTGGGGGGTTTATCTATGTCCTCAGGGTCACCTGAGTGGTGCAAATGGATGCACGGAGCCTTCTTAGAACTGCTGAAAGGACTGAGTTGTAGACTGGAGATGGATGATGTCGTATCCCTCCCCCTCTGTTGAGGGTGGGCTGTTTCATTTGGACAGAGATGGCCTCTTGGATCCCTCTTTCAAACCAGTCAGAGCTGAAGAAGCTTCTTGGACGAGAAGCAAAATGTCTTCCAAGAAAAACCAGAAGGTCCAGTTGCCCTTGAAAAAAACAAAACCCTTTGGGACTGAGAACCATGACTGTGGCCCAAGCACCTGGGGTGAGCGGGTGGGGTGCCTGGTCAGCAATGGGGAAGGCAAACAGTCCCCATCTTGGGCCCCACTGCTCCTGAAGGGGGTCTTTGCAGGGATGCTGGTTCATGGCTTCCCCAAACCTTTCTCGATGCTGAGGGAGTCGATGGCTCTGTATCCGGCGTTGGCAATGCCGTGCTTGGCCCCGGCTTCCATGACAGCCCGGTAGGCCTCCAGGCAGTGCTCCCGAGGCACATGCAGCTCCCAGCCCATCTCGCCTACGAAGGACAGCCTCATGGCCCGCACCTGCAGAGGGGGAAGAGGGGAGGGTGGCAGGTGAAGCCCTGGGCAAACGGCCTCCTGCCCTGCCCCCACTCCCAGAAACCTCTTTTAGCCACAGCAAAGGAACTCCCTTCTTCTGCGTCCCCCCTTTCTTCAAAGCGAGCCCCCTCCCCACTTGAAGAGCTCAGCTCAGCTCTGCTCAGAATGACTCCCCTGGAACTTAGTTCAGAGGCTCTGGCTTGCTAGCTGGTGACCCCAGGAGGCTGGGCGGGGGGGGGGGGGGCTCAGGCCAGCCATCCCTGGAGGTTGGGGTGTGGCCACTCAGCTCTCTGACAGGGCTGGGGCTGCTCCGGGCAGATTCGGAGGGATCTGGCCTTGCTGGGGGGGGGGGGGGGGCTGTGCCGGCCCCATCCTTTCCTCCCTGGGAAAGGCTGAAAGCAGCTCCTTGCACAAGGCATTCAGCACCCACAGCAGCTCTCTCATCAATGCCGCCAGGAGGATGACAGCCGCTGCGCCTGCCTCCATTGTCAGGAAACCCTAAATAAACCCTCGGCACCCGTCCCTCCTCCCTTCCCCTCCCCAGCTGCCTGGAGAAGCAGCAACTAGGGTGGGGGAGGGGAGGAGCCTCTCAGCCAGGGCTGCTCCCCACTGTGATGGCCTCTGCCCTGCTCCATGGAGACCCCCTCCATTTCAGGCCACACCCGCCCCCCACATTCCCAGATGCTGCATGGGGAGGGGAGGCTTTGGAGAGACCCCCGAAGGCCTGGCCTCTGGACTGCGCAGCTTCACAGAAGCCCCTCACCTCCAGTGCCCACAGTGACCAAATGAGGGGAAACCCCTCACCCTGGCTGTGCCGGTCCTGGCTTGGCCAAACCAAATTCCATTCTCCAACACAGTCCTAACACCCAAGATTGAAGGGAAGGCGGGGGAGGACAACTGGACTCTTTCTGCCTTTGGCGTCACTGCCCAGTTCAGCTGTAAGAGCAGATGGGACCTTCCCAGCCCTTTTAAACAGACCCCCCCTTTCCATCTCCTTGAAAGCCCCCCCACACACACACACAGAGCCTCTCTGGCAGAAATGAGAGAGGCAAGTGCCTTCCAGACCAGTGGTTGCCAACTGGTGGGCTGGGGACCACTGGTGGTCTGCAGAGAAATGTCCCCCCAAAGCAATTTATCCAGGCTGTGCAGAAACACATGGCTGTGCTGCCCACATGGCCCACCCACCCACTGGCCCCCACCCTTCGGCTGAGTGCAAACCTTACCTTGAGTAGAGCTACGCAGGCTGGAACTGGAAGGGCGGAGGGCGGCTTGCTGATGCTGGTGCGAAAGTCGGTCCCATATTCCAGAGCTGCAGGAGTCACAGGACTGGCCCTTTGGTCATCCCAAAGCAGTCCATGGCAGGCCAGTGCACCCGGGTGGAGGAGCAGCTGCTCCAGGATGACCAAAGGACCAGTCCTGTGACCACTGAAGCTCTGGAATATGGGACCGACTTTTCCACCAACATCAGCAAGCCACCATCAATCAAATGCGTATTAGTGGTCTGTGGGATTTAAAATTATGTTCGGTGGTCCCTGAGGTCCAAAAGGTTGGCGACCCCTGTTCCACAGCACTGGCAGAGAAGGGGCTGCATGAACCTCACCCACCCAGGAAAGCAAACCTTAGAAAAGCTCAGGCTAGTTTGTTATTTATTTCCCAAATATATTCCCACTTGTCTAATTCAATACTGCGGCCCACATTTTTTGCCCAAATTATCATACAGGCTTCTCTCCTGCAGACCCTCCCTGCGGATGGCTGGGCTTCCTGCCACTGTGCCCACCCCTCCAGCAATTCAGGGGTGCTTCCCTCCCGCCCGGCATCACTCCTTAGCTTCCCAGAAGCTCAAGCATGTCCCGATGCTGGAAGGAGCAGCCCCACCCGGCCCCTCTGCGGACGCTTGGAAGCCAACAGAAGACAGGCAGGATTGCCCAACCATGGGTGACCTACTTGTCGTGCTTAACAAGAGCAGCCTCTTCCTTTCATTGCCTCCAGTGAGGGGTTAATAAACCTTGTTTGGACCAGGGGCCCCCCATGCCAGGCTGGAGCCAGGCTTTCCCAAGAGGGCAGGGCCAGGAAATCCACTCCTGGCAGAATTGCCTGCAAGTTTCACAGAGCCCCGTTCCCCGTGCAAGAGTCCCTGTTTCACCTGCCTCTGGAGACTCCTGTCAACCTTCAGCTGCTGCAAGAGAAACAAGGCTCCTGCCTCACCTCAACTACAGCCTGAGCCGGATTGAGCCAACGAGACCCCAGAAACTGAAGGTGGCAAGATGGCAACCCTTATTGGTGTGGGCTTCCTGAACGGAGACCTTCTCCCAGGTGCCAGGAGCTCCTGTCTCCAGCCTAGGTGGCAACGTTAGGGTTCCATTTCTAGAAAAAGCATCAAAGCCCTGACCACCTCAGCTGCTCTCGCTCCTGGTCCAGAGATGGCCTGAGCATCTCAGAGGCCTTGCAGGGCAGCTTCTCCGCAGCCTCCCTGGGCCCCTTCCCCATCAATGTCCTTTTAAGGGCCCTCCTGTGCCAACCCAGAACCACTAGTGTGCGACATGCCTTCCCAGCAGCGGGAAGCTCTGCCTTTTGGGCCCGCAGGTGAGCGCCAGAGGCATTGCCATCAGTGGGAGGCAGTGTTTCAGCCCAGCCAGGGACATCCACACCCATCCAGAAAGCAGGGAAGAGCAAAACTCCTGACTAGAAGCCTAGGAAGAAGCTGAAGAAGGAACTGAGGTAGCAGTCAAAGGGCTTTTGGAGTCTGGACCCACGAGAAAACCCCAAAGCCCTGGTCTCCCCTTTCTGAATAGCAACAGCCCTTAGACTTATATACCGCTTCACAGTGCTTTCAAAGCCCTCTCTAAGCAGTTTACAGAGTCAGCCTCTGGCCCCCAATAACCTGGGTCCCTCATTTTACCATCCTCAGAAGGACAGAAGGCTGAGTCAACCTGGAGCCTGGTGAGATTTGAACTGCCAAACTTCTAGCAGCTGGTGATCAACTGAAGGAGCCTGCAGCCCTGCACTCTGACCACTGTGCCACTGGGGCTCTGCAGCATTCGGTGTCAGTGTCCTTGGGCTCCCTGGAGAACTTCGGTGTGTGCACAGTGCGATTTCCCCCCCCCCCCCCAGGTGAATCTGCTTCTTTTTTCTCTCCACCTTTACCTAAGGATCCACCTGATCTCGCCTCTCCTGACCTTTTCTGCTCTAATTAAGGATGATTAAGGTGATCTCCTGGGGGTCTCCTTTTCCGGAAGCTTGTCAAACTCTCTGCTTCAGCAGCTCACCCTGAAGGGACAGGAGTCCTCCAAGGCCAGCCCCTCCCCTGAGCTCCCCCCCCCCTCCTGGCCCCCATTCCCCCCCCCCCCGGGTTTCTGCTCTTTCGGCTTCTCACCCTGGGCTGCCTGAAAATGCAGTGGCGCCCCCCCCCTCCCCAGCTTTTCTGGGTTTCCACACCCTCCCCCACCTTGGCTGAGCTTCTGAATCCCCCTCCCTCCCTTCTGGAGTTCCTGCTCCTCCTTGGAGCCCCCTGCCCTCTTGGCCCTCTTGATGTGGACACCCCTGCTCCTGGGGGTGAGGTGGGGGGGCTTGCCGTGGCCCAGGCTAGCTGGCTCTGAGTCTTCCCTCCTGGGGTGTCCCAAGGAAGCCTCCCTCGCTGCCCTGCTCCCAATCCTGACACTTTTGGGTGAAGCCTCGGGTCACAACTGCCGAGCTTGGACTGAAACCTGGGTAAAAGCCTTGGATCTTCCTAACAAATCCTGACCATATTTTCCTGCTCGAAAGAGTCCAAGACACTCCCAGCCTTCGTGGGCTCCTCCATTGGTGGTATCACCCTCGGCCTGAGAGGGACAACCAGGAACCACCAGGACCCCCACCTGAGAGCCTTCCCATCTCCTGCACACCAGCATTTGGGCTGCTGACCCCCGGCCAGAGCATGTTAACTGCTAGACCAATGGCCCCATCTCCATTAGCACTGACCACCAAGGAGAGTGGCCTCCCCTGTACCTTGACCTCCCTGGAACCATGGGGGAGGGGCACAGGTTTGCCAAGGCATCCAGAAACCTCAGGGGAGGCCGGGGTGGTAACTAGGGAGAGAGAGCGCTTCCAACTGGCTGCTTGTCCCTGTTTTGACCTGTTGGCTGCTGGGCGCTCCAGCAGCTGAATCAGAGGAGCAGGAGCCAGAGTCAGGGCAACCTGGGAACTCTGAGAGGGAAGAGGGAATGGAGCTGTCAGAGAGGCAGAGCCTGGGCCATCCGTCAGCCCTCCGATGGAGAGTCAACAGCCGCCAGGTCTGGAGGTGGCTGATGAGGAAGAGGAGGAACCGCTGGGTCCAGTGCCTGACGCGCGGATGCACAAAATGCAGAGGAGAGGAGAGCAGTGGAAATCTATGAGCCAGTCCTTGGGAGTGGAAGAGCCACTGCTGCTAGCAAAGCCCCACCCTAGCTCTGGGGATAAAAGGCCGGGGGCGGAGATGAATAAATGTGGCACACAACTATCCATCTTCCGGCTGGATGGACTTGTTAGCCTGCGAGAGAAACCTTTTGCTGGGGCTGCTGGCGCTCCTAATAAAGGAATCTTTTGAGTTCACGTCAGAGGGTTTGTTGTGTTTGGGGAGCTGAGTCAGAACAGTCCCAGCTTTGCAGCTTCAAATGATTTTGCCTAATTCACTGAAGCTAATATGCTTGGTGCGATAAGGCTAAATCTGTCCTCCTTAATGCCGTCAGTGACAAAGCTCCATTCCAGCGGCAGAGCTCAGCTTGGTGGGCCTGCTGGCTATGACTGAAAGCTCCATGGAGGAGCCTGCTTTTGTTACACATGTGCTGCTTTTGTACAACACATGTGCTGTTTCAGAAAAGAGAGGGGCTTTGGTGGCTGAACATAAAGTGGCTGTAATGTTTAAAATCTGGCCTTCCAGGCAATGTCGGTTGTCCAAGGCAGCCCGAAGATCCCCCGCTTCGCCTGGCTCTTCCAAAGACCCCCCACACACACATAGAATCTCCCGCCTTAGCCTGCTCTGCCCACCCAACGAATAGCCTCGACTTGCCCAGCTGCACCTTTCAATCCCTTTCACTTTTGATGGCCGGAATGAGACCTTCAGGCTCCTGCCCTGGGCCGCCCCTCCTTCTTCTCCCCCAGGCTTTCCTCCTCCGCTGGCCCTCCCCCAGCCATTTGCCCTTCCCTTGTGCTCTGCTGGCAGAGTCCTCTTGCAGGGGTGCTAAATGTAAGAGCATCCTGGCCCCTGCTCTGCTTCTTGTTCTCCTGGTTTGTGTCCCATCCTTTTCTGCACTAGGTAGAAATATCCGATACCATGCATTGAATTACACACACACACTTTTATCCCTGTACTTTCCCACTGGCTCCTGCCAACCAGTCATTTTAGTCTGGTCTGCCATTCAGTCACACACTGTTGAAGGCCTGTTTTTATGCCTTTGGAATGGCAGACCAGACCTGTGCCTGTTCTCAGAGGAGAAGCCCCTCCCTTATTCGCTTCCTCTCGTGGCTCCTTCCCTGGCTCCTCACTGGCCGGAGTTCAGCAAAAGTAGTTCAGGTTTTGCAACATCCTTGATCCTCCAGCAGAGGACAGGACAGAGAAATGGCACTTTCTGGCTTTCACCCCTTCTTCCCTGCCCTGCTCCCCCCAGCGCAGAAGGAACCCCAAGGAAAGCATCTCCTCTCCCCCACCCCCAGGCCCTGCCCCAGCCCTGCGAAGACAGGTGGAGGACCTACCGGGAAGCCAGCAGCCTTGGCCAGCTGGTGGGTGGAGAATGGGAAGGCCTCGTTGCTCAGGTCTACATCGAGCACTTCTTGCAGGACGGACCGGCTGCACAGAGAAGAAGAACCCAATGAACGACCCACCCACCCCTCACTGCCAGCCCCCAGCCTCCAAAGAAGGCCCGGCTCCCTCAGAGACAAAGAGCATTGCAGCTTCCACGTGCCAGAGGCCCCTCGGCCAGCACCCCAAGAGTCGCCAGTCACCAAGGCAGCAGCGGCCACCTTCATCCCGCAAAGGGTCAGGCTGGCTCAGCTCCACCAGTCATCCTGGGACCTCAGCCAGAGCCCCCAGATCTTGGTGGGATTCTTTGCCTGGACCCACAACAGATTTAAGCATCGGGAGCTCAGTTCTCTGCCGCTGCTTCAGGTTTGGCAGGAGGTTAAATTGCTAACAAATTTTGTATCAGGTTGGCACAATTATCAGAAACAACTGCAAAGAAAATGCCCAAGCATCTGAAAAACCTCCTGATTTTGTATTCTAAAACGTTAATTTCAAGCTGGACAAATCATGTGCCCCAATTGCAGGAGGTCTTCCAATATTTGCCTTTGAAACTCTGTCCTTTCTGCCTTCAGACGTGCATTGCTTACAAACATTGATCCATCTATTGACTTCCAAGGGATTAACGTCTTTCTGATTTAAAAAAAAAAGATGAACATGAAAATGGCCTCCTGAGGCAGCTGTCAGATCCTGCATGAGGTGAGCCTTAGGAGGAAAGCCTCAGCCCAAATGCTCCGGCTTTGAGCAGCTTTCTAAAAATCTCGGCTCTCCCTCTCCACACCTACACCTGACAAAATATACCCAGAATATCTAGTTTGGGGGGTGGGGAGGGGAGCAGCATTGGAAGACAAAGCTGATTTGACAATCACACATTACATTTCAAAGCCTCCCACACTTCTAATAAATGTGTAGCAAACAGCATAAGATGAAAACATGGATAGACTGTGCGAGCTCGGATTGTCTTGGGGATAGGCTGACAATTCTAGTTTAAGATGGCTGTGAGAGCAAAATATTATGAACAGGCCAGCACAGAAAGGAAGAGAAACTGTGCGTTGCTGCTTGTGTTCCCTGGGCTCAGATACTGGCCCCCATGCAAAGACACAAACCTGACAAGTTGGTGAGCACATCCTGCTCTTCCTTTTGCACAAAGGTCTTGGGAGACAGCTGTGCAAATCCCCTCCAGGTTGACGAGCAAAGGTATCCAAACTTAGCTTTCAAAGCCAGGAAGCAAAGCGTCTACCAGCCAATCTGGACTGGGAAGGAGCAGAGGCCTGCACCCCACCTGGGCCAATTTGGGAGGACTGGAGGTCAGCTGGCAGAAGGCGGCAGCTGCTACCTTGGGTGACCTCTGTAGCAAGCAATGCTCATACTGGCATGGCCAGCCTAGGCATTCTGCCAGGTGGGCAAGGAGGAGGAGAAGGAGGAGGGGGAGGAGGAAAGACTGTCCCCTTGTCCCCCCAGGGCCTCGATCCCATTGAAGGCTATGACCGAGAGAGTGAGCTCTTGGGGAAAAGAAAGGTCACCCCTCCTGCATTGGATCAAACTCGGAGACTCACCTGGCAGGGCCTTGAATGCTGATCATGCCCAGCTCTTCCGACCGGTCAATCAACTGGCACCGAAAGTGCTTCTCCTGCAGCACCGTCCTGATGTGTGACCAGTTGTACTGGGCAGTAGCGCCCCCAATGGCCAGGTAGTAGCCATCCCCTAAAGAGGATGAGAGTCACGTTGCCAAGTGCAGCAGCCCCGCTGAAGCTGTGGGTTGCAGTGCCAGCTAGCCAAAGGGAGGCTCCAGCTCTGTTGCTGATTGGCTGAATTCATCCCCACCACTGTTCAGAGTTTTGCAGTGTAAATTCAGTGCCAGAAAAGTAAACACAGATGGCAGAAGATTCATTTAACTTCTTTATAAACACATAAAGTAAATGGAGCAAACTCATACAGAAGCAGACACGTTAGGGGTTCAGAGCAGCAGCAACTCAAGAGCTCAGAAACTTTAGGTCAACAGGCAAGCAAGATACACAGCAGAGGAGAGAAGCAGTGTCATCTTCAATAGGCAGACTCAGAGCTCAACAGAGCTTCAGAGCTTAATATGGAGCCACGCCTAGGCTCCTTGCAGTTTCAGTTTCCAAACTGTCCTCATTGGCTGACTTAGTTGCAATGCCTATTCATTGGCTGACCTTGTTACCATTTTCCATTCCTGTTAATGAATATACTCTAGACAACCACAACTCAGGAGACTCTGCAGTTTACAAGTGAACTGATGCCCTGCTGACAACTGCATAACATCCTTAAATCCTGGGTGCCCACAATGCCTCCTGGCTACCTACTTTTAGATGAGGGGGGAGGGGGCAGGCAGACCCTCTGCTGCCTCCAAGTGTTCTGAGACCCCAGAGGCAGAGCGGAATCTCCACCAAAAGCAAAACAAGCCCCTTTCCCGGGACCAGACAATCCAAATGTTGCATTCAATGAGAACGCATTATAAAAAAGTCGCCTGCCTTTGACCAAGGTGGCATCCTGCTGACCTTCCACCTGCCAGAAATTGGACTACTGCAATATGCTCTGCATGGGGCTGCCCTTGAAGAGACCCCAGGAACTTCAACTGGGAATAATGCAGTGGTGCAAGAAGTTATGGGTGCTCCTGGAGCAGCGCACGTTACACCTCTGCTCCACAAGCTGCATTGGTTGCTGGTTTGCTTCCAGTCCAATTCAAGGTGCTGGTTTGAGCTTCGAAGCTTTTCACCGCATGGGACCAGGCTGCTTCTGCCTGGACGCATTCACCCACCTGCTAGATTGGGCAGAGCTGCAGATGCCATCAGCCACAGCCTTCCTTTGCTGCGGTGCTTGCCGCGCGGAACATTCCTCCAAAATCAGACTGGCTCCATTCTTTGTTGGCGTATCCATCAGTTTCTGGCTATGTTGTCAGGCCTGGGGCTGCCTTGTTGAGGGGCCATTTTTATCCTGGGGTTTGCATTTTTCCTTTTGTGATACCTATTTCTAAAGTTTTTGTGTATCGATGTTACTGATTCTTGTTTGCCACCCAGAGTTGTCTTTGGTGACTATATCACCACTTCAGTGGCGCAGTGGTTAGAGTGCAGGACTGCAGGCTCCTTATGCTGCCTGCCGGCTGCCTGCAATTTAGCAGTTCAAATCTCACCAGCTCAAGGTTGACTCAGCCTCCCGTCCTTCCAAGGTGGGTCAACTGTGGACCCAGATTGTTGGGGGCAGGAGGCTGACTCTGTAAATTGCTTAGAGAGGGCTGTAAAAAACTGTGAAGTGGTATGTAAGTCTAAGGGCTATTGTTATTTCCTTCCTTCCTTCCTTCCTTCCTTCCTTCCTTCCTTCCTTCCTTCCTTCCTTCCTTCCTTCCTTCCTTCCTTCCTTCACAGTGGTTAGAATGCAGCATTGCAGACTAAATCTGCCCACAGCCAGGAGTTCAAATCTCACTCGGCTCAAGATTCAGACTCAGCCTTCTGTCCTTCCGAGGTGGGTAAAATGAGGACCCAGATTGTTGGGGGAAAGAGGCTGGCCCTATAAACCGCTTAGAGAGGGCTGTGAAGTGGGATAAGTCTAAGTGCTATTGCTATATCGATTGAACTGAAAAATTAATAACGGAGTAGCCTCTGGGCCCTTCTGTTTTTATGATCAGATGACTTTCCACAAAACAGGTCAATGTGTACAAAACCAGAAGTGGGAGCCGGATGGTATGTGGGCCCTCCCTTGAGGAGCTTTTCAGCAGGGGCACAAGACGGGGGACACAGACCGGTGCCCTGAAGGCAGCTCGTGTCCCGGCTCTCTCCTCCTCTTCCTCAGCCTGGCCAGCATCACTTGATGGCCCCAATGCTGCTTCTCACCCGCCCCCACACCCCACTGCTGGGAGGAGGGAACAGCAAGCCTCTCTCCTCTTGCGCTTCCCCTGATAATTGGCCCTAATCAAACTCAGGTGGCCTCCCGGAGCCAAAAACATAGACGCTGCTCTAATTGCCTGTCAAGCAAAAAGCCTCGCTGGCTGGCAGCGCCTGCACCCAAAATAATGGCTTGGCAGGATCTAGCTCTGGAGCGCTAATCAGCTCTCTTTCTTCCACACGTCAATCTCAGGTGGAGATTGTCAGGTTCCCTGGTTCAAACCTTGCAGAACTTGCTAGGAGCTGAACAGGCAGAAGCTGCCAAAAAAGAAGAAAACAGCTAGAAGTCTCGGTCAGGGCAAACTGGGGGGCTCCTTCTTTCTTCTTCTGACCTGCAGCGTCCCTTGTCTGCCTGCCCCAAGGCAGTAGCCTCCAATTCTCTCCTTCAAGGCTCAGGAAGACCTTCTCCTAGGATTGTGGGTTGTCAGCCCTGTGAGGTAGGCAAGGTCAGGGGCCCCGAGGAGTCTGGAAAAGCATTTTGTGGGGCAGCAGAAACTGTAACCGAATCTTGAGAGCCTGTTGGAGACCCTCTCTGGAGTCCTGCAACTCAACACGGAGCAGCACCAGGCTCCCTCCTTTCCTAAGACTCTGGCACTCGTCCTGCAAAGGATCGCTATTCCCTTCCACATCTCCAAGCTCCATCATAAGCTCAGTGTATCAGAAAGCATTTTTAGCACCTTCAAAGATCCACAATGAGTTGTTGTCCGTTGTTTAATGACCCCATAATCCCTTGCGGGGTGGAGTCTAGGCAAGTGAATGGAGCTGAGTGTTTACTGGCTGGATGCCCTTCCTGTCACAGATGCAGAGTTTTTGCAACAGATATATTCTCAGAGTGCTCAGAGAGAGAAATACCAGCCTTTACCTAGGATCGAACTCACAGCCTCCTGATTGTGAGGCGAGAGCTCCACCTCTAGGCCACCGCACCATTCAAAGGTCCACAACAAGTTGATCTCTCTGTTAGAAATGTAAGTCACCTAACAGGTATTTGGGTTGGAAATATATAAACCAGGATAGACATTTTAATCCTGTATCTTTAAGAAAATGCAAAAACTGCAATTGGCCATGAGATGGAGCCAGAAACCTGGGTTGTCTTAGTCTTAGTCTCAGAAGAGAGTGTGCCTCAGTGAGTCTGTTTCTTTCTGTTGGAGAGTATTGCCATTCCTCCGTTTTTTTCTAATTGACTGGTATTCCTGGATTTGATGTATAAGTCTGATACTGAACTGTTTTTGACACTGGACTTTATTATTGGATTATCCCTGGACTGAAAACTGACTGATCTTACCTGTGAATGACTTTGGACTGCTTGTTTTGAACTTTGCTTAAAACCTTTATTGAAGTAAAAACCAACATTTACTGTACAGTGTATCTGTGTGCTGTGTGTGTATTACTCAAACACTACTCTCAATCCATCTCCCTGTATGTGCTCATTCTCCTAACGGGGAATTACCTCAACACTCTCAAAATAGCAGAAGGCCTTTTTGCCCAGCGGAAATATGACGGCTTCCCTTTTTTTCTTTTTCTTTCTTTTGCGGCTTGTCTTCACTACTTTTTCCTTTCCTACTTTGTTTCTCTTATTCCAGGTGTGTATATAGATGGGAGCATCTGGTCGTGGAGGGAGGACTGTCTGTGGGAAGGTAAATGCTATGGCTACCAGACCAGCGAGGATTCTGACCCCAGAGACACCAAGCCTGTCAGAGTATATTCATTAACTGGCAGAGACATGGTTAACAAAGTAAGCATGGCAACAAACCAGCCAATGGGAGCTGACAGCCTGGGTGTGGTTTGGCTCTGTGTGCTTTGCTGAGAATTGAAAGTGAAACTAACTTGCTTGCTTGCTGTGAAAAACAAGTAATCTGTTCTGAGCCCTCTGAGCTGCTGCTGCTTGTGGTTTTTGCTTATGCTACATTGAAAGAGTCTACAAATGGTATTATAAACTTTACTCATGTTAATATGTTTATAAAGAAGTTAATGATCCTGCTGAATCAGTCATGTGTGTGTTTTCTGGACATGAATTTCTGCTGCAAACTCTAACAAAGCCCAGGTAGGCACAAAGGGAGCCTTCCTCCCTGATCATGGGCCCCTTAGCACCTCCAGAGCCGCCTCTTTTGGGGAAGCACCCTGAGGAGGAGAATGCCATCCCAGAAACTTCACCAGAGGAAGAAACCCAGCTTCTGATCACAACCAGGGCATCCGTTCTACAAACTCCATCGGCCCAGCAAATAAATTTTGATTCAGGGGAAATGGGGAGGGTCCTTCACCTTCAAAGGCAGGTGCCAGGGCTGAGTCTCGGGGCCCCGGGTCGATCGGACTCACTGTCAAATCACTTTCCACTCCCCCGTCCTTGTTCAGCATGCAGGTGTAAACGGTGGTTCCTGGGGAAAGATAATCAGGCTTCAGGGATGGAGGGAGAGGAGGGGAAGGAAACTGCCTGGATCCCCCCAGCCCTTCCGCACTTGCATCCCATCAGGCTGCAACCTTCCCCAATGACTTCCTTACAGCACCAAGTCCGTGGCATTGGCCTCACCTGATATGCAGCATTTAAGTCAGTGACGCCAGGATTAAAGTCCTCCCCCACTTCCTACTAACAGCAACCCAGGGCGATCTGGGGGTCCATCAAATCTAGCCCTCTTGGCCAGCCGTGCCATCGGGGGTTCAGTTAGGTGTCAAGCAGTCTGCCCTCTCGGGTCCCTGGCGCCAGGCTCAGAGGCCATCTCATCCTCCCTGCCCCCCAGGAAGACCTAAGCAGTGAGCAGGCTGGGAAAAGCCGCCCCTCCTCTGGCTCCATTTTAGAAGCCCCCCTGACATGCCAAACTCTCTCAATGGGCTCTGGCCCTCTTTCAAAACTGTGCCAACCTGCTGGGAACACCTGGGAAGATGCCCATGTTGAAAAGCTGCAACCCAAGGGGGCGAGGCCCATGTGTGTCATGGCAAAGGGGTCACCCTGGGACCAGAAAGGGCTGGGTTCAAGTCCACTGGAGGTTACAGAAGCTCCCTGGCCACTCCTTCCTCCTACTTTAAAGGGTTTTGCAGAGGCTGCCAATCAGAGGTGGGATTCAAATTTTTTTACTACTGGTTCTGTTTGGTGTAGCTTGGTGGGCATGGCTATGTGTGGTCATGTGACTGGGTGGGCGTGGCTATGTGGTCATGTGATTGGGGGGTCAAAAGACAGAAACTCACTTTCTGGAGCAGGGGGTTGGACTAGATGTCCTCCAGGTACTTTCCAGCCCTAGATTGCTGTGCTGTTTCAAAGCATCCTCTGAAGCTCTCCTTTTTCTTCTCTTTTTCTTTTTTTTTCTTTTTCTCCCCTCCTTCCTTCCTTCCTTCCTTCCTTCCTTCCTTTTCTTTCTTTCTTTCTTTTTTTCAGCACCTCCCCCTGCACCCCGTTTTTGGCCTAGTGTGCTGGAAAAAGCAGCATTTTGAAGCGGGGGCGGGGGGGGAGAGCAGCTGTGCCACACGATTTAAATTAGCTAGAAAGCAAGAAATCCAATGATTTTCTGCTTTCTCGCTAATCTAAATCTTGCAGCACAGCTGATGGTCACCCAGCTGATAGTTGGAAATAGCAGTCCAACCGAACTGGCAGCAATTTTTTACTACCAGTTCGGCTGAACTGGATCGAAGCAGTAGAATACCACCACTGCTGCCAATCACCCGCTCCCCTTATCAGGGACTTGGTGAATGAGTCTGCACCCTTCCCAGGAGGACTGAAGGGGCAGCACTGGCATTCTTTAGGGGCCAAACTGGAGATCCAGAGCTGGGGCAGGCCGGTCGAGCTGGCCCCAGACAATCCGTGGTCTGTGTCCCTTCGAAAACGAGCAGCTCAAGGGCCCTGCTGGCGCTGGGTATCGGGGCCCCAGGCACCCCCTGGCTGGCTGGGCTCAAGGAGAGGCCAAAGGATGCAGAGTGCTGTCAGGGAGGCCCGCACTGGTGTCCTGCACAGTGGTAGCTGGGGGTGGGGGTGGGATGGAGGCCACCCTCCTGCACGAAGTACGGCTCAAGTACGGAGAGGGTGGAGTGGCCCCAAGGAAGATTTGCAGGACAATAACAACCAGCCCTCTTCCACAGAAGACTTCAGGCACTGGTTTTGGGGCCCAGGGAAGAAGAGGACCTACCTGGGGCCTTGCGAACATCAGCGGTGAAGAGCCAGTTGGCCGCCTTCCTGGCATCTGGGCCCACCAGGTAGAATTTGCCAAAGTAAGACATGTCGAAGACAGCGAGAGCATTTCGGCAGCTCAAGCACTCTGCCCTGATCTGAAAATGCAGACATTGCCAGGGTGGGTGAGGGGCCCGTTTGTGCTTCCTTTCAAAAGTCTAGCATCCTTGGGTGATCTGACCTGTGGCTTCTCTGCACCCCTCCCCAAACCCACAGCTCCCCGCTGAGAGCCGCAGAATTGCTCCTGTTAAGACCCTCCTGTCATGCCCCTGTTGGAATCTGATTCCGAGGGGGAAGAGAAGCAGCTGACAGGGAGTGGAAGGGTGGCTCCAGTGGCTGTGGAAGAAACGGGGGAAGGGCACAGTCCATTCAGAGGCATTCAGAGGAAGACCCAGGCCCACCCCTCTTCATCCTACAGCATGCAGGGAGGGACGGAGAAGGGAGCAACATGAGTTACATGGGTTATGGGGGAGAAAAGGGCCCTGATTCCCTTCAGGGAATCCTGGGGAAACAGCACCTTGCTGGAAGCAAAGCGTGCATTATCTTTGTTTGTCAAGTCTTATCTGGGTTCTGGTGTCCTCCCAACTGTGTGTGTCTCGTTATCTTTTGAAGTCTGCAATTCCTTATCCTGCCCTGTCTCGTTAATTGCTGCAGCTTGTGGTTTGTGTTGGTTTTTATTTATAATTTAGATGTACTTTGGGTTTGGACTGAATTTCTTCCCTTTAAAAACTGTTCTTGGGAGAGCTTTTCTCCATCCGATGATAACTGGACATTGGGGGTCAAGTTGGAGGTTACCTACTCTTCTGACTTTGTTGCTTTTGTGCCACGGCCCTTTGGGTCATCACACCCTCCACAGGAAGCCACGTCCAGCCCAGCGTGAGAACAGCTGGGCAAGGTGGGGTCTGCAGGGCCCTAAGAGGGCCCTCTCTTTGGCAGCAGCCGACCGGGACCCTGCCTGGTGCCCTGGGGGAAAGGAGGGCCGCAGAGGGGCTTCATTTCTCTGAGTCTGCATGGCCCACCTGGTGAATCGGCTGAGCCTTGAGCACACCTGAGCCCTTCGGCCTCCTTCTACTCACAGTGCTATGATGAGGAGGGAAGTCGAAGGTGTACTCCTTGGAGAGCAGCTGGCGATAGGCATCCTCCTCACAGGGCGGGTGGCCATAAGCCCCGTAATAGTTGTAGTCCGGCACCTGGGTTGGCACAGGAACAGCAGGCCTCAGTTCCCTCCCTGCAGAGACGCCTTGGGGAGACGGGCGCTCAGAGCCAAAAGCCGGACGTTGTGCTGCGGGTGGGGTTGCAGGGAAATCAAGTGGGGGGCCTCGGCCTGACTGAGCCGTGGTGGGAGGGAGGAAGGAGCTGGGTGCACTTGGAGTGGACAGGTGGCCATGTCCAGGGCATCCTGGGTGGGATCCAGCCTGACCACATGGCTTCCCCTCTAGCCTGCAATCCTGGGATTTCCAGGTGGCCTCCCATCCAAGTTCTCATCAGGCCTGGCTCAGCTCGAGTGTACAGAGTGGCTAAGGTGCCATCGCTGGCTGCGACGAGGGACTCAACTGGAGGAGCTGTGGCCCTTTTTTCTTCCTCTGGGCTTCTAAGGCAACCCAGCAGGGAAGCAGAGCTACCAACCGATGGGCAGGTTTATCCGAAATGGCCCAACAAGGCCTAGTGCAGAAGAGGACCAGCGCCCCCCCCCATTGCACGGCCCAGGCGGCTTGAGCAGGCAAGGCCTGGCCTGGCCCTGAGGGCACCTGCCTTGGTGGGCTGCCTGCCTTCCACAGGCACCAGGCTGTCCCTGTTGCTTGGCCAGAGCAGAACTGCCTCCTCCATCCTTGGGCCATTCAAGGGGGGCCTTGAACGGAGGCTCCCAGAGGCCTTGAATGATCCTGAAGGGGAAGTAGGACCCCCACCCCCAGCCTTGGAAGGGACTCGCCTGAGGCTTACCGGCGCTTTGCCCGCTGGGTTGAACCAGCCTGGCCTCTCCCACCCATGTCGCTCCTGGAAGACGCAGCCCTGAAGCAGCAGCTCCTGCGGGCAGAGGAAAGTGGGGTTAGCACCTTGGGAAGCACCCACCCTCCAAGCTGGGAAAATTCACGGCCGAAGCCTCTTACAGGACGAGCCTCCATCACCTGCCCCATACACTGCTCCTCCCACTGGCCCTGGGCTCAACCCTCTGCTGCATCTCACCCTTCGGTTGCAGCTGCTTGGAGTTCTGGCCCAAAGACAGAGCCAGGAGGAGGATTATCTAGGACTTGGGTGGCTCTGCTCCCCCATCCCTCCATCCCTTCTGGGGGGCATCCTTGGCCTCGGCCATCCGGGCCCCCCCCCCCACTGTGCAGGGGAGGATTCTCTGCCGAGAAACTGCCAGGCTGCCTCTCGCACCCAGGGCTACCCACACAGTCCGCTCCCAAGCCTCCATCACCCTCGAGATGCAGGCTACAGCGGCAGGACCGGGCAGTGGGCCACGTGGGCCCCTCCATGCCAACCCCTTGCTGCCAAACCCCACCTCTTTGCTCTTCCATTTCCAAGGGCTGCTTGCAGAGCTTCCCAGGCACCTGGGAGGGGAGGGTGGGGCCACATCCGTGTCTCTCCCAGAGACACAACCAAAACGGCTCCCCCTGCTTGGCCCTCCAAGGCTGGTAAAAGCGGAAATGCCCAAATTCCTCTGCCTAGAACTGAGCCATGGACAAAGGAGACCGAACTCCGGCATGCTTTCTTCAAAGTTTGTACCTTGAGGGACATGCAAGAGAAATGAAGGGGCAGGAATGGGCTGTTTGGGGGGTAAAGTGGGCATCTTTGAGTCCTTCATCCACCAACCTCCCACAAGCAGTAAGCGGTGGGCACCTGGGGCAATGCCAGGGTCCAGTTGCCTTCGCAATGGGATTTCCCCCCCTTTTGCAAAAAGCCAGGAGCAGCTCTTGAAGCGGGGAAGGGAAGGGCCGTTCTTTTGGGACAGATAGAAATGCTTATTGGGGGGGGGGGGGTCTCCTCGCTGTGGCTCAGCTGATCCTGTCCAGAAGGGTTCTGCATTCTTCTGCTGCCCCACATTTTGCTCTGTCACCCCAGAAACGGAGCCTTCCCCAATCCCCCCAACGCCACTTGGCTTCAATTAATCCAGGTTCTTCAGACCAACCACCAGGGCCAGTGGGGGGAAGGGGCCTAAGGGCCTGGGCTACCGGACAAGAGTGTCTCTGGGCATGGGAAGAGTGCCTCAGGGCTCTGCATCTTTGCCCGAGGCATGTGGTGGGGGGACAAAGGGTCTGCAATGCACCCAGCAGCTCCAGCCTTACCTCGTAGAGAGGGTCCTTCCTCAAGTTACGCCCAGCCAGGGGCTCATCGTAGGGGAACACGATGGAGTAGTTCTTGGCGTAGGACTCGTGGCTCCTCTCTCGGATCCAGCGGCTGTTGCCCGTGAGGAAGCGGTGAAACCTCCTGAAAAGCGAATGGACCTCATCACCAGGAGGGGGAGGCCTGGGACAGCCAGCACCTGGGACCCTCCGGGGGAAGCAGCCGGAGGAGGACTCCCGGGGGCTGGAGGAGGCCTTGGGACCAAGAATGACATCCACAGATCCATGGCACAGGACCCTCTGGCAGCTGGATCTCTGGGGAGGGTGGGGGGCTTATCAGGGGCTGGAGGGAAGGCAGACCTTAGGGGAGTGAAGAGGGCTGGAATTGGCCATGAACCACTTTAATGTCTATTATAAAGTCGGAAGAGTCTGCTGAGTCGGAAGAACTGATGGTTTTTGCTAGCACCGCAAAGGGAACGGGGAAAGTTCAAGGAAGACCCCCCACTAAGCCAGGGTCCCAATCTCTCCTTTATCCCCAGCAACTGGAAACAGTTTTGGAGAGGCTGGAGCAGCTCCGTGAAATCTTGGGGCCTTTGGAAAACCAGATCCAGATTTTGCTCAGCTCCCATCACCCTCTTGCTCCACTTGGGCTTTTCCTGCATCTCCTAAGCTGCATCAACAGAGGGATTCAAGGGAGGTGCTGCCACAGTTGGAATTCTGCATCCAGTTTTGCTGCCCACACTATAAAAAAAGAGGTTGAGACTCTAGAAGGAGTGCAGAGAAGAGCAACCAGGATGATGAGGGGACTGGAGGCTCAAACAGACAATGATCGGTTGCAGGAACTGGGCCTGGCTAGTCTAGGGAAGAGAAGGACCAGTTATAGCAGTTTTCCAATATTTGAGGGGCTGCCACAGAGAGGAGGGGATCAAGCTATTTTCCAAGGCACCCAAAGGCCAGACAAGGAATAATGGATAGAAACTGACCAAGGAGAGATTCAACCTGGAAATAAGGAGGAATTTTCTGACAGGGAGAGCGATCAACCCATGGAACGGAAGTTTCCTTCGGAAGTTTATGGAGCTTCATCCCTGGAGGCTTTCAAGAAGAGACTGGGCTGCCCTCTGTCGGAAATGGTGTAGGGTCTCCTGCTTGGGTGGGGGGTTGGACTAGATGACCCACAAGGTCCCTTCCAGCTCTTTTAATCTGTAAATCTGTTAGCCACTTGGGGTTTGTCCCGCCAAACGATCTCCCCGAAGACCAGAAGATCCATGTCCAGAAGAACAGATTACAGGCAATCAACCCCTCAGGGAGGCACCCTGAGACTCCCACAACTGGGAACATGGCTAAAGTGCCCGTCTCAGCCCCCCCCCTCCACCCCACCCATCAAGGGCTCGGTGCTTTCTCTCCAGGGGCAGCAGGGGAAGTGATGCGGTCCACTCAAGGGCTGCGGGGGGGGGGGGGGGGGGGGCCCCCCCGGGGGGGGGGGGGGGGGGGGGGGGGGGCTGCACACAACCTGTAAGGAACGGCCCTGCCAGCCCCCCTGGTGCAAGAAGAGCATTTCTCCCACCACCTTCTCCTCTCCACCGGATTAGGGCCCCACCCTGAATTTGCTTGGCAGGACAACAGCGAAAGGCTGCTGCTCACCTAATGTCATAGCTGAACATGTCCTTCTCCGGATGTCCGTGGACAATCCAGTGGGCCAGTTCCTTCCCACAGCCTCCTCCAAGCATCATTCCTGTGGAAAGAGTGGGCCAGAAGTCAGGGGGCACCCAAAGATGCTCCTTTCTAAAATGCGCCTTGCACCAATTCTTTGTCATCAAATCGGGGCTGCTTCTTATGCTGGACAACTCTGGTTGCCATAGACAATCGCATTTCTGCTTTCCTACATGTGGAAGAAAGCTATTTTCTGACAAATCTTGCAGGGACCTCACTCGCTTTATTGGCTCGGAATGGCTCTTCCAGCTTGCAAATTTATTTAAATGTGACCTTTACAGGTGGCAGCTTTTCACTCAAGGCTACATGGAGATCTGAAGAACGAGAAGCTGCAGGAGATAAAATTAACCAGAAGCTCAAATAAGGGCTGAGGAAAGCGGAGGAGACCCAGTGGATAAACACCAAGTTTCGCTCCTCAATGCCAGGGAAAACCCATTTTGAACTCAGCCCTTCACCCCCTCCGAGTGCAGAGTGGGAAGCAATGATGGCAGGAGAAACCTGGAGAGACAGCACAACTGGCCAAGGGCAGGGGCTGCTTCTGCAGGGCAAGGCCTTTGGAAATGGGGGTGTCTCCCCAATCCTCTGGCAGGGTGAGGGTGCCAGGCTGGTCGAGATTTTTCCATCAGGAGCAGCTCTGGCCTCTGGATCATCCCCAAGGCTGTGGAGTGGGGCGGGATGACCAACGGGGCTCCCTCAACTCTGCCAAGTGCATTTATGTAAACGGAGGTGTTTCTCTGCTGGGGGGGGGGAGGTGTTTCTCTGCTGCTCTCACCTACTGTGCTCTTCTAGGATGTGAAAACGCTCTTCCACCTCCGCTCCAAACACATCCCCCCCACTGAGCAAATCTCCCTAGGACTCCACAGCTCTCTCCGGGATCAAGTTGTGCTTTTGAGGAGCCTTTGAAATATTTGTCCCTGTCTCTGTCTTCTCTTTCCCCAACCAGAGGGTCCTGGGCCCATGGCTTGGCCAGCACCTTCTTCTTATGGACTTGGGCTGAGCATTTTCCATGCCAGGAGCCAGGCGCATTTCCGTAACCGTCCTGCTCGGGAAGGCTGCTAGGGTTACTTTTGGGGGCCAAGGCAGCTTGCTCCTTACCGGCACTGTTGAAGCCACATCCCAGGAAAAAGCCACGGACCTCTGGCGCTTCTCCTAGGAGAGGCTTATGGTCTGCAGTGAAGGATTCTGGGGCAGGGAGAAAGCGAGAGAGAGGATTAAACACGGCGCAGCAATTCCGGCTTTAATCCTGCACATTAATGCTGCAACTTTAGATATGGTATGCGCACCAAGAGTCAGACCCACGTCAAGAAGTAATGCCTGGGAATGAAAACACACTCTCTCCCACACACATAGATTTCTCTATTTAAAGATCGTACTTGGAACACCAGAGACCAGTGCACAAAGACAGAAGAAGAGGAAATAGGGGGGTGGGAGGAGAGAGGGAGGGGAGAGAGAAGAGAGAAGAGGAAAGGAGAGAGAGGGGAAGGGAGAGCACCAGCCCACCTGCATCTCCCACTGCGGGCCGTGGGGCTGCACATAAAGGCAACTGCTGGTCACTTCGTCCACCCCAAATGCCTTGGGCCTCACCCCGGTCTCTGCCTCTTCCTCAGGGCAAGTCTTATTATTTCAGAGCTCAAAAGAACCAGCCTCCTTGAGTCTCCTTGGCAAAAACCTCCCCTAATTGAGCTGAAAATACTTTACAGAGTTGTTCATATTTTTAAAAACTGTCTCCAAAGGAGTCGTCTTTTTCTGACTTAACCCACACATTCCAAGAAAGCAGTGTTCTGCATTTTTCCCCCTTCAGCTTAATATTTATTTCATTATGACTAATAGAGGAAAGTAAGAGGCTTAAAAAAACGGATTCAGTTTTTGCCAATTACAGTCTTATTAGTTTGGGGATTGAACTATGAGGAAAAGGTGAGCTATAAATACTTCTCTGGCTGCAGCTCAGCACACAAGACTTTCTTCCCCCTTGTTGACATCTGGAAGGGCAGCTGCCAGATTACAGAAAGCAGCAACTTGGAAAGGCAAAAGGCAGCGGGGAGACGGAGCATGAACTCTTCCCAGACCCTCCCTCCCCTCCCCTCCCCTTGGGGACCACTTCCCACCATGGGAAAACCGCCCCTCCTCCTCCTTCTCCCCAGTGCGGGGGGGGGGGGGGGCTTCTAGGCAGAGGAGGAGGCGGCCATCCCCTTCCGTCTTCAGCCCCCACCTCCTGATGAATTGCTCCCTGCCTGATTTCCTCCCTGTTCTTCAGCAGCTTCCAGCCGTGTCTTGCCTCTTCTCCACTTTGACAAGGAAGGAAGGGGAGGAAGCTCCCAGCTGATGGCTGCTGCTGCCACCTGAGGCCTGATGCACAGGAAGGGCTCCGGAGACCTGGGAAAGGTCTTCACTTGGGTGGGTTTCATACCTCTCTTCAGAACCTCCTAGAAATCCAGTCCCTCCCCAGGAATACCATTTGGCTTGGGGCCAGTCCAAGTGATGGTTCCTCCTCTTCCTCCTGGTGACCCATAGAGATCTACAACCAGAGGATGGCCTCATCCCCATCAGGTGACTGAGGACCCTCATCTCGGGCAGTGACGATCCAGTCAGTAAGAGCAATAGCAATAGCCCTTAGACTTATATACCACTTCTCAGTGCTTCACAGCCCTCTCTAAGCAGTTTTGCCCCCAACAATCTGGGTCCTCATTTGACCCACCTGGGAAGGAAGGGAGACTGAGTCAACCTGGAGCCTGGTGAGAATCGAACTGCCAAATTGCAGGCAGCTGGCAGTCAGCAGAAGGAGCCTGCAGTCGTGCACTTTAACCACTGCGCCACCTCAGTTCTTTGCTGGCAGGCTAAGCCCAAAGGCTGCCTTGGCTCAGACGTATTGCTAGACTTATTGCTGCAGCTCAGAGATTTCTTCTGGTCTTCGATAGCATCCCTGTAAGATGGACAGTAGCTGAGACAAGCGTGAACTGGGACTGGACCAGTCCGGGCAGCTCAAAACGCTCAAAGCAGCCCATCAGTCCAGACCTTGGAGGGTCCCAGGGTCCCAGGCCCTTTGTGCTCCTGAGAGTCCTAATTCCTCCTCCAAGATCCCAGGATCCTGATCTCTGGCTCTTCCTCCCAGAGAGTCTGGAAAAGACCAATTTTTCCAACGCAGGCCCACCCGGAGTTAAATATAAGAGGCCCAATGATATTATTGCACTGATTCAGTTTGTTTTTGAAGCAGCTCTGCTCCATCTGCTCCTTTTATGTGGTAGATCTGTTGTTGCCTTTGTGGTAGTAAACAAGCTACACGCTGCATCCCCACATATAGCACACTGACACATTGCCTGCATGTGCATAACCTGTATTGCGCAACCAGAACTCAGGTGCCTCCCTCTTGCCTCCCACACAAGCTATGTAGCCAAGACTAGCATGGAGCCTATCAAGAGACCAATGAATCGGCTGCAGAGGGAAGCGTCTTTCCTTCCTGCTTGGCAAAACAAGATGTTTCCAACTTGGACCATTTGTCCTCTGGCATATGTGAGAGTTGGCAAGGCAGAGGGCGAAGGCCCGCAAAGATGCAGTTCCAGTTCCTGACAGAGAGGTTTCCCACGCCATCTTGGGCGCAGAATTCCTCAAGTAAAATGAAAGCCCAGCTGGAAGGCTGAATGCAGAAAGAAGTCAGTGGCACAGAAACGGCCCAACCGGATGTCTTCAGTGGGACAGGAAGCGTCAGGTGAGAACTGGGGAAGTGGTAGATCTTGGACCAAAGAAGAGCTCCGGTCCCCAGTGGGCAAGTGGGAGGAGAAGTGAAACATGGGAATAACATTTGAAGCAGCTTCGGAAGACCCTCCTGAGTTCTGCCAGTGGAGGAGTGAGGAGCCTTTGGGCAAAAGGTCCGCAGGCGAAACCCAAGGGCTGGTTGCAGCAGAAAGCAGTGAACGGAGACCTCTGAGGGGAACCAGGCTAGGCTGAAAGTCTGTAGAGATTCTCCATCATTCAGGTTGTCCCAAAGGTGCTTTTTTTCAGGAGGCAACTGGGCTTTCTGGTTTTTTCTTTGAAGACGTTTCGCTCCTCGTCCAAGAAGCTTCTTCAGCTTTGACTGGATGGTGGGGAATGGAAGGATTGATACTCCTTGCAGACAGCCGGTCATTTGCATCCTTCCATTCCCCACTATCCTGTCAGAGCTGAAGAAGCTTCTTGGACGAGGAGCGAAATGTCTTCAAAGAAAAAAAATCCAGAAAGTCCAATTGCCTCCTGAAAAAGCACCTTTGAGACAACCATGACCTGGATGACTGAGAATCTCAACAGACTTTTAGCTGTACATCTTGGGATGGTCCCCCTTGGAATGGTGTGGGAGGAGAAATGGATTTCCAGAGGAAAATATTGCAGACTAAAGGAACCATTTGCACCACTCAGGTGACCCTGAGGACACAGATAAACCTCCAAGTGGCCTCAACAATTCTCTGAAAAGGATGCAAATGACCAGCTGCTTGCAAGGAATCTAAATCCTTCCATTCCCCACCATCCAGTCAGAGCTGAAGAAGCTCCTGGGGTGAGAAGCGAAATGTTTTTTTTTTCAAAAGAAAAAAAAGAAGGAAAGTCCAGTTGCCTCCTGAAAACAAAAGGGCAATGCCAGCGTCTGAGTGATGCCCAAAGGACCAATCTGAAGAACGCCCTGATGCGACTAATGCGACAGCCACAACAGGACACAACAAGAGCCATGGTGGTGCAGTGCAGGCTAATTCAGCTCACCGCCAGCAGTTCAATTCTGACTGGCTCAAGGCTGACCTCGCTTTTCCATCCTTCCAAGGTCCATAAAATGAGGAGCCAGATTGTTGGGGGCCATATGCGGAGTCTATAAGCCGCTTAGGGAAGGCTGTGAAACTGTGAAGTGGTATATAAGTCTGCTGAGTCTGAATCCAGGGAGGCAATTCCCCCTCCTCCTCCCCCCCCATCTTTTTACCAAGTCCTCTTTCAGGGCACCTGTCGAACCCCACATCCATCAACCCTCCTGCTGAGGCTCTTCAAGAGATGCTCCATGGGATTTACAACAGGGAAGCAAAAACCAATCAAACAGGCTGACAAAATACGTTAATTGCTTCAATAATCCACCAGAGATGCCCAGATTGCTCTCACTGGGGACCTGAAGGGAATTTCTTTCAGCCAATCTCACACAACCACCACAGGCCCCCCTGACATTCTCTTCTGACGAATGGTGGGTTGGATCCCATCTTTTAGCATATAAAGTGGAATTATGAATGAATGGAGAAGCAAAGTCCACGAAGGACGTTCCGCTGGCAAAGAAAAAAGGCCAGTCGCAGCAGTTCCTGGGACTGTGAGAGCCTGGCTGGGTTGAGTTGAGATTGCTGGGCTTGAGGGGGGGGGGATTGGGGGCTTCCTGCAACTCAGTGGCATAATGTCCATTTCAAATGTTGCCCCACAGAAAACGCAAGGACTGCAAAAGCAGCTGTCCAGGGGTAGGGGAGGCACCTCCTCCTTGTCTCTCTTGGGCTTCTCCTATGCCCCGCTCTTCCTCCCTGAAGTCAAGGCATCAGGGCCTCTGCCTCTCCAGTGCCACTTCCTGGCTGAGTGGACTTCTTCCCTAGTCCCCAAACAAATGCCAGGGGAGGGACAGGAGAACTGGTTGCTGGCTGGACAGCCGATTGTTGGGTTTCCCAATGGTCGACACACAAGCAGCTTAGCAGCTAACAGCCGCGAGCTTCCTTCTGTTCTTTCACTCTCTTCTTCCAAGAGACATAGAGATACATGGATGAGAACTGAAAGTCCACCAGCAACATCAGCCAAGTAGATGGTTTCCTAAAAGGTGGGCTATTGGAAACTGAACCGAAAGGTATAGTGCCCAACCTTCTGTGCAGCTTAACTCCCTAACTTTGTGATGGTGGTGAAGAATGACCAAAACAACCTGTGTTTACCAAAGCCCCCAGCCGTAAATGTGATTGTGAAGAGTAAAAAAATCATGTTGAAGGAGATGCTTGCTACGGTTCCCCTCCTCTTTCAAGGAAGTTCTTAATATTGTGGATACTTTTATGAAATCTGGGGGTCCTTACCTGGTCCGCAGACAGTTGATTTAATTCCAGTTTTCTCCAGCACTGGGACACGGTTGATAGCACCATCAATATGCTGTGTAAATACATCCCAGTCCAGATTGAAGAGACCAAAAGCAAAATTGTCCAACGCCTGGAAGAGCAAAATACGCACTACAAACATTAGGCACTGATTACATGTCGGCCCCCAGAAGACAACTTAGACATGGTGGCAAATCACAGATCAGATTCTCCACCTGCTCCCTCCTGGCTTTTGAAGCACACTTTCTCCTCCGAACCGTTTCTTGCTGCCTGAACTCAGCATCCTTATTGAGATGACCTCTGTCCACCAAGAACTTTGCTGGTGGAATAAGTCATAGAATCACAGTATCAACCCTGAAGCTGGCCTGACTGAGTCCATTTTGAGACTTTAGCGCTGACACACTGGGGAAGAAGGAGAGGGAGGGGGAAAGAGAGAGAGTTGGGGTGTTGCAGTCAAAACAAAATACCTTCTCTTGGGAACCAAGGACATTCCTTCAGATCCTTGGGAGGAGGAGACTGGAGTCACTTAGCAACTGGACAGTATCCTGATTGGACCATGTGACTGATTGCTTTGAGAAAGTGACAAACTTTTACTTTTAATTAGGTGGAAAGCTCAGGAATAATCTGAGCCAGTTTTCACCAGCCTGTGCCAATATGACATATCCAATAAACTTATTCTTTGAGGAATCTACCTGTTTGCTATGGGTATTTTACTTGGAGCCCTAACACAAAGGGCCGGAAGGGGCCTTGGAGATCTTCTAGTCCAACCCCCTGCCAAAAGCAGGAGTCCTTGTACCATCCCAGACAAATGGCTGTCCAGCCTCTCCTTAAAAACCTCCAGTGATGGAGCCCCCACAGCTTGGAGAGGCAAAGTGTTCCATTGATAATTGCTCTCAATGTCAGAATTTTTTTTCCTTAGTTCTAAGTTGGATCTCCCACCCATTCTTGTCCTGCCCTCAGGGGCTTTGGGGTCAACCTCCTCATCTGTGACAGCCCCTCAATATTGGAAGACAGTTATCATGTCCCCCCAATCCTTCTCTTCAATACACTGGACACGCCTCGTTCCCTCAACCATTCATCATATGATTTAGCCTCCAGCCCCCCTAATCATTTTTCTTGCTCTTCTTGAGCGAGTCTTTCCAGAGTCTCGGCATCTCTTTGGTATCAGGATGACCAGAACTGGATGAAGAAGTATGTGGCCCCATGTCAGCTCTTCCTCATGTCCTGAATGTCCACCATTCCCCCAGACTCTTTGGAGACCCAGATCCTGGGAATCAAGGTGTTTCCTGCACTGGGAGAGAAGTTCTTATGCAACCAATGCAGAATTCCTCACTTGCTTTGCCTTCCTCAGTTTGCCCTCAAAGGGAGCCTTTGCCCTCGAGCGCCAGCCCGGAGCTTCAGGGCGGGAAAGGACGCTTCTGCCTCTGCTTCCCTGATTGAAGTTGGCCACTCTGATCAATCCAATAAAGCAATGGCCCCTTCATCTGTGATTAAATCAACGCTTCACCATTAATATTCATGCAAGAAGCCATCCTGCATCTTATAACTCAGTGCCAAGTCACCACTCTTCATTCTCTCCAGATGGCAGGCCAGGACACAAGGCTGCTCGGCACCTTAAGGAAGGGGGAGAAGGGAAGGAAAGGTGCGCCAGGACTGCAAGCAAAGGTAGGATGAGCCACGGTGGCGCAGTGGTTAGAGTGCAGGACTGCAGGCTCCTTCTGCTGACTGCCAGCAATTTGGCAGTTCAAATTTCACCCGGCTCCAGGTTGACTCAGCCTTCCGTCCTTCCGAGGTGGGTAAAATGAGGACCCAGATGGTTGGGGGCAAAAGGCTGACTCTGTAAAGCACTTAGAGAGGGCCGTAAAACCATTGTGAAGTGGCATATAAGTCTAAGGGCAATTGCTATCCATCCATCCATCTATCTATCCATCAGCTGTGATGACAGAGTGGTTAGAATGCATTATTGCAAGCTAACTCTGCCAATTGCCAGCAGTTCAATCCTGACCAGCTCCAGGTTGACTCAGCCTTCTGTCCTTCCAAGGTAGGTAAAATGAGGACCCAGATTATTGAGGGGCAAGAGGCTGACTCTGTAAACTGCTTAGAGAGGGCTACTGTGAAGCGGTATATAAGTCTAAGGGCTATTGCTATTGTTGTGCCACCCATGTTCTTTCTAGCACATAACAGGAACATGCAGGGAGTCACTGTGACATGCACAATAGCAGGGGTTATGGCTACTCTGTCCGCAAGCCCAACACGGTCCATGTTCCCCCACCTGAGCTCTTCCAAAGCTTTGGGGGAGAGGAGGAAGTAGAGGACCAAAGCATCTGCCTTGTGTGCCAGTTACGCCCTTTCCTGGATAAGCACGCTCTCTTTTTAGTCTCTCCTGCTTTGGTCATCTCCCATTTGGACTACTGCTACATGGTCTACATGGGGCTTCCCTTGAAAAGTATCTAGAAGCTTCAGCTGGTAAAAAATGTGGCCAGGTGAACAAATTTTTGGCACCCAAAGAATGGCACAGGTAACACCTCTGCTGCAAGAGCTGCACTGGGTGCCAGTCTGCTTGTGGGACCAATTCCAGGTATTGGTGATTACCTATAAAGCCCTACATGGCTTGGCTGCCTACGGAACCGACTTTACCCCGTTACATTGGCCCATTCCACCCGGTCAGGCAGGGAAGGGATGTTATGGAGGTCCAGGAAGAGAGCCTTCTCTGCTGTTACCCCCATCCTGTGGAATATTGCCCCCCCCCAGTGAGATGGACACCCAGCCCCCATTGTCCTTCAGAGAAGGGGTGAAAGCCTGGCTCTGTGGCCTTGTTTGGGGCGGACAGGTGGGCACCCGGTTGTGGGGCTGCTTAGTTAGTCCCCTTAGTTAGTCCCCTTCGCCTTTTCAGTTGATTTTTTAACAGGGCTTAATTATTTTGGGAGGGAGGCGGTGGCTCAGGGGCTTAAGACGCTGAGCTTGGTGATCAGAAAGGTCATAAGTTCAGCGGTTTGAATCCCTAGCGCCGCATAATGGAGTGAGGTCCTGTTCCTTGTCCCAGCAGCTTCTGCCAACCTAGCAGTTCAAAAGCATCTAAAAAAATTGCAAGTAGCAAAATAGGGACCCCTTTGGTGGGAAGGGAACAGCATTCCGTGTGCCTCTAAACGAATATAATTTTAATTCTTGCATTGTAATTTTATATACTGCAAATCAATAAATAAAAAGCAGATGTGAGAAGCAAAGGGGACCGAGGGATCCATCCAGCAGCTGCCCAGATGAGACCCTCTCCTTCCCCAGGAGCCTCTCCTCTGCTAATCAGGGATCAAAGCTTTCCCAATCGGGGTCAACGTCTTTGTGGATTTTCCTACGTGCAACTAAATCTCCTTCTGAGACCCTGGTTTAGCCCTCGGCCCAAGCAACACAGAGCCCCCTAGCTGGCTTCTGCAGCGTTTGCACTCCCTCCTTGTGATTCCTTAAAAACGCCACTCACCTCCTCGCAGAAGATGGGGTTTGACTCATAGCCACCCACAGAAAGGGCATCACCTTGGAGACGCAAGTACACAGAGGCATCGTGGTCTCGAACGTTCGGCATGTTCTAAAAATACCCAGAGAAAAACCACTGCTCAGCCTCAAAGAGGCTTTTTTGCTCGGCCGCCTCCTGTCCACCTCACAACCAGGAAGCCAGAGGGGAAGGGCGCCTGGGGGGCAAAGGCAGGGTGGCCCCTTGCTGGCTGCAGACCCAGAGACCCGCTAATCTCAGCTTGCATGGAGGACCCCTTCGGCGCTTGGCCCACTGCCCCCCCTCCTGCGGCCTCCACTGAGGCAGGAGCTTCATGCGGCTTCTTCCCCGTCTCTCCTCCCCTCTGGAAGGGCTGGGAAAGAAGGGCAAAGGGTCCTGGCACCCCTCTCCACAGGTCCCAATGCTGTTGCCTTCTGAAGGAGCCCTGCTGAAGACTGGTTGCTCCTAAGGCCCAAGAGCTGCCCTCCCCAGGACCAGCGAGTGAGGCTGGGAGAGCCCCTCTCGCCTCAGGTGGGCTGCCAGGATTCTGTCTCCAGGAGCCATCGGGCAACCCTGAAGGGCCAGGCTGAGGAAGGCGCTCCAGAGCCTCCAAAGTTGGCATTCAACTGAGAACCTGTTTCTGGGCCTCCCTTTTTTCAGCGCTGGGCTTTTCCTTGTATCTCCGAGGAATGTACAACTCCCAAAGTACGTCTGGCAAGTTTAAACAGTGGCCCAAGCGAGGAGCACAGAAGTCTTGCCTTGGCCATGCAACCTGGGGCACAGAGGAAGGGCCCATCGTGCCAAATATTATCCCCCAAGGCTGCTGCCAGGAAGATGCTTTAGGCCGCATCTACCTAAAGCTAAAGTTGGCAGGAAGGGAGACCTAACGCATGAGAATGGACAAGAAAACTAGAATACTGAATAACAGGGTTGGAAGGGACCTTGGAGGTCTTCTAGTCTAACCCCTTGCTTAGGCAGGAAACCCTGTACCATTTCAGACAAATGACTGTCCAATCTCTTCTTAAAAACGTCCACTGTTTGGAGCATTTATAACTTCTGCAGGCAAGTCGTTCCACTGGTTAATTGTTCTCACTATCAGGAAATTCCTCCTTAGTTCCAGGTTGCTTCTCTCCTTGACCGGTTTCCACCCGTGGCTTCTTGTCCTGCCTTCTTGTGCTTTGGACAATAGCTCGACCCCCAACTCTTCTTTGGGGCAGCCCCTGAGATATCGGAACACTGCTATCATGTCCCCCCTGGTCCTTCTTTTCACTAAACTAGACGTACCCAATCCCAGCAACCGTTCTTTATATGTTTCAGCCTCCAGTCCCCTCATCATTCTTCTTGTTCTCCTCTGCACTCTTTCCAGAATCTATATTGCAGCAACCAAAAATGGACGGTCTTACCAGTGCAGCATAAAGCAGTGCTAACTCTCCGCATGATCTGTATTCCATCCCTCTGTTAATGCAGCCTAGGACTGCACTGGCTTTTTTGGTGGCTCCAGCACACTGTGGCTGCTATTTCAGCGACTGTCCGCTAGGACTCCTAGATCCCTCTGGCAGTTACTGCTACTGAACCAGGTACCCCCTATCCTATACCTGTGCATTTGGTTTGTCTTGTCTAAGTGTAAAATCTGGCTTTTCTCACCACTGAGTTTCACTGCACGCAGCCCTCCTTGCAGGGAACTCTCTCTTCCTCAGTCTGGAACGGGGGCTGCGGGGCCTTGCAGAGCTTTCCCAGGGGAGGGTAAACTTAGGGTCTGGCTCTCCCAGTCCCAGGTCGATGGGCTGCGCATCCCCTGAGGCCACAAGCTGAAGCTCTGCGGGGAGGACCAGGATGCTAGCTAGTCTCTGCCCTTCGCCTCCCCAGGTGTCTCGTTGTGGAGTTCCTTAACCAGCCTTGGAGGGGCCTCTAGTGGCAGAACCTGGATCTCCTGCAGGTGACCTGTACTTCGGGGCCTCTTCAAAACTGTTTCCGCTTTTTTCAAATATTTTTACTATATTCTTGTGAAATAGGCATTATACATTCTGTATTTTATGGAATGGAGTGGAGTGGAATGGAATGGAATCGGAATAGGAATAGAAATCTGGATGGGATCTTGGAGGTCTTCTAGTCCAACCCACTGGTCACGTAGGAGTCACATAGATGGCAATCCAGTCTCTTCTTAAAAACCTCCAGTGATGAAACATCCACTACTTCTGAAAGCAAAGCTGTTCCCCTGGTTCATTGTGCTCCCTGTTAGGAAGTTTCTCCTTAATTCCAGATTGCTTCTCTCCTTGATCAGTTTCCATCCATTGTTTCTTGTCTTCTGATGCTTTGGAAAATAAGTTGCCCCCCTCTTCTTTGCCGCCCCTTAAATACTGGAATATTGCTATCATGTCCCCCTTAGTCCTTCTTTTCTCTAGACTAGCCACACCCTGTTCCTGCAACTGTTCTTCATATGTTTTTGTCTCCAGACTTTTAATTATCTTAATTGTTCTTTGCACTTTTCCAAAGTCTCAACATCTTTTTTGTACTGTGGTGACCAAAACTGGATGCAATATTCCAGGTGTGATCTTACTAAGTATTTATAAAGTGGTACTAATACTTCATGTCATTTTGATTCTATGCCTCTGTTTATACAACCCAGGATTGTGTTAGCTTTTCTGGCTGCGGCCACACACTCCTGACTCATGTTTAAGTTATTGTCCATTACAGCTCAAAGGTTCTTCTCAGAGTTACATTTTTTGAGCCAGGTTTCACCTACTCTGTATTTGTACCTTTGGTGTTTCCTACCTAGGTTTAAAATTTTGCTCTTTTCCACATGAAATTTCATCTTGTTGGATAAGGTCCATTGATCAAGTCTGTCAAGATCTTTTTGGATCCTGAGCTTGTCTTCTGGGGTGTTGGCTATTCCTGCCAGCTTAGTGTCATCTGCAAATTTGATGACTTCTCCTTCTATTCCCTCATCTAAGCCAGTGATCCCCAACCTTTTTGACGCCGCGGCCCGGTACCGGCATCAGCTGGGTGCCGTGGCCTGGTACCGGCATCAGCTGGGCGCCGCCATCTTTTTTTGATGAAAAAGTGCTTCCGGTGAGCTTTCTACCCGGAAAAGCTCACCGGAAGCGCTGGCGCCGCCATCTTTTTTTGATGAAAACGTGCTTCCGGTGAGCTTTCTACCCGGAAAAGCTCACCGGAAGCACTTTTTCATGAAAAAAAGATGGCGGCGCCCAGCAAGCCGCGGCCCGGTAGGAGTTCTTCCGCGGACCGGGACCGGTCCGCGGACCGGTGGTTGGGGACCCCTGATCTAAGCCATTTATGAATTTATGAAAGTCATTTATGAAACTCATCTAAGTCATTTATTGTCCCTGGAAGTTAATCCTATTTGCTATCTGCCCATTGTTCCAGCTGGCCAAAATCCTTCTGAATCTGCCACCATCTTCTATTCCTCAGAGGCCTGAGTAGAAAACGAGTAGCGCATAAAAAGCATCTTGATGTCTTGGTGGGTCACAAGCTGAGTCAGTAGCCTAATCCAGTTGCAAAAAAGCAAATGTGAACTTTGGCTGAAGTAGAACAACAAGATGAAAAAGTGATCTTCTGTGTTGCTCATACCACATCATTTTAGGGTTTGGCACTAACAATTTGACGTGTATCGAGAAGAAAACAACCCAGATGAGAAACGGGCATGGAAGAAAAAGATGTAAGGTTCTCAGAACAGAATAACAGAGTTGGGAGGGACCTTGGAGGTCTTCTAGTCTAACCTCCTGCTTAGGCAGGAAACCCGACACCACTTCAGACAAATGATTATCCTATCTTTTCTTTAAAACTTCCAGTGTTGGAGCATCCACAACTTCTGGAGACAAGTTGTTCCACCGATTAATTCAGTCAGGAAATCTCTCCTCAGTTCCTGGTTGCTTCTCTCCTTGATGAGTTTCCACCCACTGCTTCTTGTCCTGCCCTCAACAGAGTCAAGATCACATGAAGAATTACTAGTGCTTTATAAAACCTTAATCAGACCACATCTGGAATACCACATTTAATAAGAGTTTTCATGGAAAACTTTCTGGTTTTCTATACTTCCAAAATTCAGTGTAAATGCTAAAGATATGGTATGCTTTACATTTGAAAAAAAAATATTCCTGCAAGCAAGGGTTAAGTATGAAAACTTCTTCCTGCCCAATAAATAGTGGGAAGCAGACAGGAAGCCAGAGGAATAGACAGGAAAATTCAGGTCCTCCTTTGCCCCCCAGGAAGCCTCGTGGAGTCATATTTATAGTTCAGGAAGAGGTGGCAATCCTACCCCGAGAAGGAGGGGGGGGGCCTCTGAGCTGCATGTGCAATGAGAGTGACAAAGGAGGTGCTCTCCCACTGTACAAAGATGCTTAGAATCAAGGGAAGTACCTGAATTTCTCACAGCACCTGTTGTTACTAACGTTTGTATCTTCCCACCAGGACAGAAACTCCCCCGAGAGCCCAGGACTCCCACCCCACCCCACCCCCGGACTGACCTGGATCCCCTCGATCTTCTCTGTCACCACATAGGCATGGTGCATGGCCACCAGGGGCACCTGGACGCCAGCCATTTCCCCCAGGGCTTGGGCCCAGACACCTGTGGGAGAAGGAAAACAACTTGTTAGGAATAACATGGTTACCTAACGTAGTTTGGGTAAAATAATATATATAAACTATGATAGTGAGTTTATATGCGTGTGTCACTTTAACTCCAAAGCATGTAATTTTGGGTGCGGCTGTAAATCGCCATAAGAGGGAGCAAAATAACCTGATTGATTGCTGGCTTACTGATTTGCTTGCTGACGATGATGGATTGATGGTGTGATAACTGCGTGTTTCCTGCTGTTGCTGAAGGAAGAAAAGAGGTTTGACTTCTTCATATCTCTACTGCGAAGAGATATAATACTGGACTGATATTGTAAGTTTAATGACCTCTTTTTCGACACTGGACTTTGCAACTGATTAATCCCCGGACGGACTGAACTAGTGTATGATATATGGACTGTTTGACTATGCTATAAATCTTACTGGAATAAAACTATTTAACTAGCACAGTGTATCTGTTTTACTGAGTGTAAGCTACAAAAACGTTTGTCTCACATATTTGCCTGACTGCCGTGCAGGTTCTGCTAGGGTGTATATCCCTAACACAACTGCCATCATCTGAAGGGCCTGGGGTGGGAAGGAGGGCGGGCAGGGGGCTTGGAAGAGGAAGCAGAGAAGGGGAAGCCACAGCAGAACGAGCCTGGCCAGGGGACCCTTGCAGGGTCATGGCTGCTACTGGATTAGGAAGAAAGTACCATATTTCTCACACTGTAAGACGCACTCCCACCTCCAAAAAAAAGTGGGTGAAAATGTCTGTGCGTCTTATAGAGCAAATGTTGCTGAAGTCCCGCACACCCACTGACCCCCACCCTTCTGCCTCTGCCTCCCAGCCATTTGCCTCCTTGCAGTAAATGGCAAACAGCCTGGTCAGTTTCAGCACAGCCTGATTTAGCACGAACAGCTGATTGGTGGTTGGATCGGCCTCCCGGAATACCGCCAATCAGCTGTTTCAGGCTGCAGGAACGCCACCACCCATCGCCGGCATCACTGCTGATTGCTGCTGCCATCTCTGTGTGCCCCATTTTTGGCCTCCATGCACCCCATTTTCAGCCTCTGCGCACCCTGTTTTCAGCCTTACACGTGCCCCATTTTTGGCATCTGTGCACCTTGTTTTTGGCCTCCATGCTTCCTGGTTTCGGCCTTCGCACACCCCATTTTAAGCCTCCATGGGTCCCATTTTCAGCCCGTTCCAGGCATCAGGGATCCTGGAACAGCTGATCAGCGGTAATGTTAGGGATAACATTGTTTACCCTAACTGGTTTGGGTAAAAATAATAAATATGGTATCATGGTTTGTTAGTTAAAGTGTGTGTAACTTTAACTGCAAGAATGTAATTAAGGGTGTGGTTGTAAAAGCACTATATAAGAAGCGAGGCAATTGCAGCTCGGTCTCTCTGGCTTGAAGATCCCTAATTACTGGATGGATTGATGACTGCGTTCTTGCTGGAACGGGGAGAGAAAAAGGAGTGTTGATTTTTCTCAACGGAGAGAAGATAAAGATTGGACTGATTTACTGTAAGTGAACTGACATTGGCTATTCAACACGGACTTTGCAAATAGAATATCCCCGACAAGACATGACTGAAATTGATATATGACTAATGGACCGTTTATTTTGACTATGCTATAATTCTTAAATGGAATAAACTATATTTTTGATAGCACAAGCGTATCTGTATTTTTACTGCGTGTTAACTAAAAAACTTATCTCACACATTTACCTGTCTTCCTATCTGACTTCGCTGCACGTCCTGTTTAGTTTGTTTTCCTTAACACCCGCTGGGGAATCCAGGCTTAACAGGTATTCCGGGATGCCAATCCAACTGCGAATCAGCTGCTTGTGCTAAATCAGGCTGTGCTGAAGCTGAAAGAGGCTGTTTGCTGCAAGGAGGCAAATTGCTGGGAGGCAGAGGCAGATTTTTTTTCTTGTTTTTCTCCCCAAAGCTAAGTGGGTCTTATGGCCTGGAGCGTCTTACAGTGCAAAAATAGGGTACTTTGGTCAATATTCTGATGAGAGCACAGAAGAGGGAGGTCGAACCTGTCACCTTGTCTCCTTTGCTGACTAGTCTTGAACTCAGGGATGGATGCTGGAGAGAGCCCTCTTTCTGTCCTGCCACTTCAACACCACATAAACAAGGGGAGCAGATAAGGATTTTTACACCGGCTTCAGGTGCAAACTCATCTCCCAATTGGAAGAGAAAGTGGAGGGACTAGAGGAAAGGGTTGCTCCCCTGAAAAGCCTCAGGGACGAAAAAAATGTCCTGGGTGGAACATTTAGGCGGAGTAACACTTTATACAGCACTGGTAAGACCACACTTGAGATACAAGGATGCGTCCAATTCAGGTCACAGCACAAAAATATTGCTGAGACTGTAGAAAGAGTGATGAGAAGAGAGATGACTAGGAGACTGGAGGTTAAAACATAGAATGAACAGTTGCAGGAACTGGATAGGTCTAGTCTAACCAAGAGAAGTTCTTGAGGTGACATGACAGTAATCTTCCAGTATTTGAGGGGTTGTCAGAAAACACGAGGGGATTGGCCTATTCTCCAAAGCAGGGGTCTCCAACCATGGCAACTTTAAGACTTGTGGACTTCAACGCCCAGAATTCAACTCTGGAAGTTGAAGCCCACAAGTCTTAAAGTTGCCATGGTTGGAGACTCCTGCTCCAAAGTACCTGAGGGCAGGACAAGAAGCAGCAGGTGCAAAATTGTTAAAGAGAGATCCAACCTAGAACTATGGAGAAATTCCCTGTCAATGAGAACCATTAATCTATGGAACGGCTTGCCTTTACAAGTTGTGGAGACTGGACATTTTTCAACATGGGATTGGTTCTGTTAGATAACAGAGGTAGAAATTAGAAGATGGAAGATTACTACTATGTATAAGTAAATAATATGATCATTATTATATAAGTAAATTGACCCAGACAATGCACTGCTTTCTAAGCACTTATGTAGGTTAAAAAAAGAATAAATATATATAAAAAGAAGAGACAGGACAGCCATATGCCCAGAATGACTAGGGGCTCCTGCTTAAGCAGTGGGGGTTGGACTAGAAGACCTCCAAGGCCCCTTCCAGCCCTGTTATGCTATGTTCTCTGTCCTTCACAACTTCTTGGCATCTTGCCATCATCACCAAACAGCTGTGAAGCTTCTTTCTTTCCCTTTTCATTTCGTACAAATTTAAAGACAACAGTGATAAGTTCAGCCTCCACCAGATTCTCCCTGGTTCTTCACAGATCAAGTCTTCCATGCAGAAACCCAAGCTAAACAGTTCTCAGAGGTTTTTTTTTTTTTTTTTTTTGATAAAGAGCTCAGAGATGGGGGTTAATTCAGATTTTCATAGGAAAAGGGGACTTCAGATGCCCACCTCCAGCAAAAAACAAACACACACAATTTTGGGGAAAGATGAGGACTAATGAAGGATCTGGCTGGTAGCTAAAGGGACTATAATGGTTAGTATGGTAACCCATATTATATAATATATATATAATAATATAATATAATATAATATAATATAATATAATATAATATAATAATATAATATAATATAATATAATATAATATAATATAATATAATATAATAATATAATATAATATAATATAATATAATATAATATAATATAATATAATAATATAATATAA